GGGAGGTCGAGGCACGATGTGCCGGGAAAGCGGTGTTCCTCTCGGCTGTAGTAGGTCTCGACCTCCCGTTAGCTCGAAGCTAACGGGAGGTCTTGCTAACGGGAGCTTCGAGCTAACGGGAAGAATGCGGCTAAAACTTTTGCCGGGAAAGCGGTGTTCCTCCCGGCTGTAGTAGGTCTCGACCGGGAGGTCTTGATCCCGAGTTTGTTTTGCAAGATCTCGCAAAGGTTTTGCGAGATCCCGAGTTTGTTTTGCGAGATCTCGCAAAAGTCCGTCTTAATTTTTTTTCCTCCCATGTCCCCTGCGGGGCTCCGTAATAAACAGAACGAGTAACAAAAACTCTGATTTCTCTCGAACTTTTTTTAAAATAGATCTTTTTATTAGCATTTTGTTCATGTAGAAAAAAAGAACATATTGCAAGTAACAGGTCTAGTGTCCTTGGATCAACAGACAATACGTTTTTTTGCAATACTAAAGTCCGTTGACATCGATAACAACCTAGTAACTAGCAAAACAGCTTCTGACGATGTCTGCTGAGCCTGAATTATGCTATAGCCCCTCCCCCTCCATTCCCAACAGGAAAAAGAAAACCAGTACATTTTAAAGGGCTGTATTTATCTATCTGCAACGACCATCGCATTTCTCATCATGTATGATGTGCTGTTTTGTTATGTAGTTCTCTGACTTAGTTTTTTTATTTCCTTTTTTGCACATAGGTGAAAAAAACCCTCTGAGTTGCACTTGTAAAGTTTATAAAATCAGCTTGCTAAACAGCCTTGCTAGCATTAGGTGGTAACTTAGCACTTCACTGTCTTAAATATTATCACTTCCAGCTCTTCTGGCACTGAGCAAAATGTTAATACTGAGGTTTCCAAAAAAAGTGTGAGCTGTCATGATGGGTATTTCCATCTTTTGCATACAGTCTATGGAAAACACAGATATGCAAAATCATAAAACTCCCCACAAGCCTATTAAAGAAACACAACATGTATACAATGTCACACTCTACACTAGCTCACAATCTAATCACCTATATGTCTGAATAACTGCCGCAACCTTAAACGTGATAATTATGTTCAAAGCACACACACACACAAGTGAGCATACACCACCATCTGAATACACCCATTGTAATTATGTTCTCACTACAATTGCAGGCTGTGTGCGCTTGGATGTGTTATCACGTTGCAGATTTATTTGTGTGTTTCTACACGTTTCTCTGTAACTACTAAAAGCTCCTGGAAGCTCTCCATGAGCTCCATGGAGCTGGGGCATGGTTGGAAATGTCATGTGGCATTAGAGATAATGGAATGGACAATAAAGTGAATTAAAAAGACTCAGGAAGCACGGTCACACTTCCTCCTCAGCAGTGCAGACATTTATTGGTTTTCTCTCTGTTATCAGCAAATGGCTGACCGGCATCTCTGATTGCCTTAGCGTTAACAAATGTGATTATGAACACCAGTTTATAAGCTTTTAACACACACATAGACCCATGCACACACGCTTACATGCACTATATGTTGACCCAGTAAACATCACACCGTTCAGGATATTGAAACCTGTGGTTCTCTGTGGGAAGAGTGTGACGCAGGATTCACGTGAGCAGCAGATAAGCTGATCAATCACAGCTCAGCAGACTGGCTGAGAGACGTGTCTGTGGAGCTGCTCCTCCGGGCTAAGCTGAAAGGTCTGATCCCAGAGTTTCCAGGTCATAAGCAAAACACAACGCAGGAAACTGATTATACGGGCCTGTATTGTATCTGCATTTTAAATGCAAAAAGCTTTTTTTTAAAAAACAAAATCATTTAAATATTTTTTTTTAGAGATATAAACAATTCTGATGTTTAGTGGTTACATTTTATAGTCAAAACAGATCAAATGTTAATGATTATTATTAGACGTGGCGTGGACTTTTGAGGTAAACAGATACTGACACGCATGGCCGACACAGACTGAAGGTAAACCTCAGCAGTTTTGCAAAACTCTTACATATTTTTTCTTGTAAAGAAACTTATATAGTCAGACAGTCTGACCAACAGCTCGGAGCATCAACCAATCAGCTTCTTAGCTCTCTTATTCTGGCTCAGGACACTTTAGGAAAAGAGATCCTGAATCTGTGTTTCCAAGTTAAGTCAAGGTAAAAAAAAATCTCACTCCAAGAGTAAACTGTTAACAGAGAGTTGAAGGTCACATGTATGCCAGGCTTTTACAAAAATGTCCACATACATGTAATAAAAGTGATGAAATAACTGATAATTATGGTGTAAATGCTTAAGCGTTACAAGAGTTGAAAACCTTTTAAATATTCAATGTTTCTACAAATTTGCAGTGCACATTCATTCAGTCACAGAGTGGATACAGTGGTGCTAAAACACTGGTTTATTTATTTAGATGACTTCCTCATAACCTGTTACTGCAGCTGTTATACTGGTTTTATATTTAGGGAAATAAAACAGTACTATAAGATAGGTTAAGGTCAATGAGTGTCCTTGTTCAAATCCAGTACTAAAATATGTAAAAAATGCAGGTGTGCATTAACTAGTGAACTGTGGAGGCTTTAACGGTAAATAACTGAGAAAGTCAAATGTAAACTGTCATGGTGGAAGTTTTTTGAATAACAAACACGGAATAAAACAATAAAATGAGAAACTAGCTATGAAGTTATCAAACCGGTAAATGTCTGCAGAGCTTTATAGTTCAAAGCATGAACTATAAAGAAAAAAAAACGTACATGGTAATGGAAAAGGAAAGAAAAGGTCGGTTTCAAAGTGCATATGAGGGATTCATTTGATTTCCTTCAGTATGTTTGGACATTGGAGCTATTTTAAGCCTTCTGTGCAGCAAGTGCATTCATTATCAACGAAACCATAACCTTCACAGTAACTTTCAGTTCCACGGCCAATCTGATGATTCACTGTGATTCTCTCGAGCACTGAAGAAAAACACTCCTCAGACATTTTTCCAAGAAATGAAAAATTAAAGTCTGGTCAGCTTTATTGTAGACAAAGTAAACCTCCATGTCCAGATGACGAAACCGGTGAGGAAACCAATTTTTGGTTTAATCTGATATGATCTGAACTGGCCTGTCAGCACCAATCACTCTGACAGCAATCACTATAAAAGCCTAAATATTACGCACTGTTGTTTTATCAAAGGAAGAAACAATGCAACAAGAAGCACACACGTTCGGCCACAGTTTCCACTAAATAGGAAAATATCAGGCCAGAAGAATTACCTCAAAAACCAAATTCTAACAAACTGCAAGCTGCAGGAAGAGGGAGAAAATACTTCTGAGCTGTAGTCAGAAACCAAAACCAAAGGAGGATATCTACTATCAAAGTACATCATTAAACTTTTATGTGCATTTTTAACACACACAGTGTGCTAACAAAAATAAATATCTGCTGAAAGCGAGCACAGCGGTTCATCACTCGCCATCTTCTCTGGGTCAAACTGGGTCTTTGTGGAGATGTGTATAAAAAGACAGCAGTTTCTAAATATACACCCCCAGCAGCTCTGCGTGTAAGAGCCCTCTCCTCTGCGGCAGCCTGAGCTTCACACGCTGTTTTTTTTTACTCTAAATGTGTGTTTTCATCCTCCAATGCAGGGTTCCCATTTGGCCCAGTGATCAGGGCTGCTGGAACTGGAATCAAACTGGTTAAATTTTTATCATGTGCCTGCTCAGTGATGCTGTCATCATTATCAGATGTTTTTGATGAGAACGCACAGACACCCACTATCTGGTTTTCCTTTCTTTTCTTTTCTTTTTTTAGGAGATTCTCCAGAACTGATAAAGATTGTTTCACCTCTCAAAGGAGGAAACATCAAAGATTTCTTCAT